TTTAAGTCGTTCAACCGTTTCAGTTGTTTCTTGCTTGGTTGTAGGAACTCGCCAAAGTCAGCTCGTACTCAAACTGGTGAAGATATAAAAAGCTACAGGTATGGCTTCCATATCCGGAACATCTCTGGAGCAGCGACGATGGTTAGTGGTGGGTATTGCTCTGCAAAGTGTCCTCACGCCATGCCTCAGAGATAAGATTCAACACGAAATGACACCATTCTACCAGCATATGGTGCGAAACTTTGGATTAGACAAGCAGACGTTTGCAGCTTACCAGAAAACAATTCCACCAAGCACACTGAAGCTGAACTATGAAAGCATCAACAATAACGCTACCCTGCATCGTAATCCACGTCACTATGACTACTGCGTGAAGGATGAAGTGTCCCTGGCTAAGCTGTTCATGAAACCTTTCATGGCACATTTCAACGCATTTGACAGTTCCTTTGACACCTCAGCAGCTCTGGCTGTTCTTTGTGGTGCAACACCATTCGCGACTGTAAAACCGTTTGCTGAAGATGTGAGATCTAAAGTACGTAATGAATGGGCACATTGCGACTTCGCAGCTTGGACTGAAGCGCACTATGATTACTGCTTCGATCTCATGGAGGCCTTGGTTACCAAGGTTCGCCTTCCGCCCGCCGACAAAACGAGAATCCTGGGTGAACTCGGACTGTGGAGGAAGCAAGGTAAGTTTAACGTGTAAAATTAGTAGATATTAGAGTCACCGTTTAAAATGGTGTCTGGATCGTTGTCATATTTATTTAGCTTGATACTGAAACCAGTAATCAAATCGCTGCGACCATTCGATCAGAGACCTGTACTGAAAAGATGAGTAGAGCTCTAAAGAGCTCTAACGGCATCCGAAGAGTCATAAGAAATGCACGAGCAGTCTGGTTTGTAATACCACACTGCAAAATGCAATTCTAGCCATTGTAGAAGTGACTGAAAAGTAATTTACACAAGTGTCTGTACTTGGCTACTTTAATTATTTACACAGGATTAGAGATATGCCTCGGTAAACCACTCGATGATACTCTTCTTCGGATAATACGCAAGGAAGTTCAAGGTCTGTCTGACTCACTGGAAGACTTCAAGGAAGAAAACGCTACTCAGGTACGTGTTACTATTGAGTTATTCAAGTCTGAGTTTGACGAAGTCCTAGCCGTAGTTCAAGAAAAGCAGTCTCGTCTTGAACAAAGGTGTGAAGAACTCCAGCACAGTCAAGACATCTTAAAAGAAGAAGTTAATGCAAAGGACAAGGAACAGAAGCAAGTGCTAAAGAAAACGGAATTACAATTGCAAATGAAACAAGAACAAATAGAAATTTTCTGTAAATCTTTGGAAGTCAAAAGTTCAGCTATGGAGAAAGATTTGGAGAAACTGACGACCACGATCTGCAAACTACCAGCATCAGAAGATCCCAAACAGATAGTGTTTGATGTTCCAGAACGAAACAAATGGTTTACAGGAAGGGAACATGAAATGGAAACTCTCGAAAACTGCCTAACATTCAAAAGCGACAAGGAATTAAAGATCGCTGCCATTTGCGGCCTTGGAGGATGTGGCAAGACCACTTTAGCAACTTCTTTTGCATGGAAACGCAAATCCGAGTACAAGGGAGGTGTATTTTGGTTCTCCATGGAGGATGACAGAAAGTTCGAAAACACCGTGAATGACCTAGCTTTGCGCCTAGAAATCCTGTCAAATTCCTTCGATTTGACCTTGACCAAAGTTTTAACGTGGATCTCGAAGCAGAAGAGACCCTGGTTACTGGTTCTTGACGATGTAGACCAGCTCAACTTCTCTGACCAAATGCAGAAAGTTTTGTCTGGACGGTGGAAGAGGCAGGCAAACGGCCATCTTCTGCTTACAACAAGACGTGAACAAAGAGAGATAGGTCAATACCTAGATCTTGATCCTTCTTGCTGCATTGATGTTCGCTCCTTCTCAATAGATGAAGCAAAGAAGTTTTTTATTACTCGAATTAGTGTCGATGAAGATACAGGACACGAAGACGAAATGCTAACTAAGCTGGTGCATGAGCTCGGATGCCTGCCTCTTGCTTTAGAACAAGCTTGTGCACATATTAAAGCCCTTCAGTGCCCCATCGAGAAGTATCTGGAAGAATACAAAAGCCAACGACTGACACTTCTGAGTGAGTATCCGGCAAAGCCATCGTGGGAGTACGAGTCTCAGAGTCGCCTAGCAGTTCATACGACTTGGCTTTTAAACTTTGAATACGTCAAGAATTCCGCACATGGAGAACTGGCATCCCGTTTCGTGCACGCGGCTGCGTTTCTGGCCCCCGAGGAGATCCAGGAAGAACTAATCAACCATCAGCTTCTTTCTGTGGAAGAAGGTCAATCAGACCAAAGTTCTAACCTTCCCCTCCTGAAACACCACATCGTGGAAGTTTTAGCCAAGTTTTCACTATTTCAGAGGAATACCTCTACATCACTCAGCTTGCACCGTTTGGTTCAAGAGGTCATTCGCAACAGAATGACCATTGAAGAAACGGCCTCGTCATTGCATATAGCGATACGACTTCTCCACGACTCCTTCCAGGAATGCCCATCACCTGACCGAATCCTCACGGATGTTGCAGGTAGTTTACAAGAACAGGTTTCCTCGTCAGTGGCTGAGCCTTCGATGTTCTATTTGTGGTCCAAATTAACCAGTCATGCGTCTGAGCTGCAGCAGCACGTGATGTCACTTCTGGATCAGCAGCACATCAGAAGAGAGGTCAAAGCAATCGTTTTAACTCATGAGACATCTCGCGTTATGTATGAGAATGCCTTGCAATTAAGCGTACATGGCCACCAAGAAGAAGCGAAAAAAGCCGAACGATTTGCAATTCAAATTTTGAATTCGACCACAAGTGATTGTGTGACTCTTCCCCTCGAGGATTTACGGAAAATATTTCCCCATACTCTGCCTCTTTCTCAAATGCTGCAGAAAACTATTTTGTACTCATCTCGGCCTTCAACTAAGAATGAGGAGTTTGGAAAGAGTGGAAATTTTGAAAGTGGTGACATGGATGCGATTCGTTTACAAGGAAACACGTTTTTCAAAGATGGTCGTTTCAATGAGGCAGTTGAGACCTATACTAAAGCAATTGAAGCTAACGCTGGAACAAAAAACCTGGACCCACGCCTACTGAACAACAGAGCAACTGCCTATCTTAAATTACAAAAGTTTGAAGAATGTCTTCAAGATGCTGAGGAGTATATAAACATTAAGCCAGAATGTTGGAAAGGATACTTAAGGAAAGCTTTGGCTCTTAATGGGGTTGGACGGAAACGTCCTGCGTTGTGTTCTGCAGCCATTGCATACTATTATGATGCAAAATGTTGTCGTTGTTATGAGCCTTTCAGAAATGCATTCCAAGATCTGGATGGAAAGTGGGAAGTTGTTGACTCTTCAAAGGCACTACAACGTGCTTTAATGCGAAACAAGAGCCAGAGTACAAGGAAGAAAGTTCTGCTGATTAGAAATGGTCAGTATGAAATACCAGAAGGCGAATGTTGTAAGGACGTAGAAACAGGTACAACCTTTTACAAATACGGAGGTTGTAATGATATTACAGACACCACAATGGCTGCTTTTGACGATAAATCGTGCGTGACATTAACATGTGGAGACGTTTTCCTTCGTAAACAGTGCTTCTTTCAAAGAATCACTATTTCAACAAAGGAGACAATGTGTGTTCAACGAGATGGAAAGGTTGAGTTCGAAAAATGCAGTTTTCAAAACGCAGCATCAACTAGCCCAGTGATATCGATTGAAGGAGTAGCAACATTCCTTGAATGCACAGTCAAGGACAGTGAAGGTAGTGGGATAGCAGTGGGAGGATCTGATGCATCAGCCGTGCTGGTAAAATCTCACATCAGTGGTAATGGTAATGGTATGATAAACCCATACGCCTTTGGAATCAGAGTGCACAATAGAGGAAGTTTATTGGTTCAGGAATCCCATATCTATGGAAATACAAGGGGCGTTTGGATTGATGAAGGCCCAGTGCAGGGTGTTCCAGCAAACAGAGTGGTGATTACAGGATCAGAGATTTACGACAATAAATACGAGGGTGTTGTCGTAGGTGCGGTTCCTGAGTATCCTGGATCTACTTCTCCTGTGGTCATAATTCGGAAAAACAAGATTTTTCACAATGGAACGTTCGGTATCCGCGCGGCACTGAATATTAATGACGTAGTTGTTGAGGAAAACACGATATTTGAGAACTACTGGTGGGGTGTCTGTGTGCACACCGATTCTGGTGGTCTATATAGGCACAATGAGATTTGTAACAACAAGATGGGTGGTGTAATGGTCAGCAGACGGAGTCCAGGAAAGCCACCCTGCGTGGTAGAAAACAACTTTATCCACGATAACTGCGGACCGGGTTTACATGAAGGACTTCGTGCTGAAGAACAGCATTCGTTCCCACTGGAGTATAGCTCCTTTTTCACGAAGGCAGATAAAACCATGGATACTGATGTGACATTACCCAACAGTGTGTCAGCAGTGTTTAAGGCGAATCATTGTGTTGGAAATGATTCTGGACACAAAACGTTTAAAGTAACCGACTTAACATACTGCGCCTTTTGTCTACGACGTGATAGCGAATTAATGTCTTGTAAACCTTGTATGACAGCAAGATACTGTGAAAAGGAATGCCAGAGAAAACACTGGAGGACGCACAAGTACCTCTGTAAAGCTGTTGGTGAGAAAAACGCCGTAGAAGTGTCTATTCCAGATTACGAGTATGTAATGACCTCAGTAGGAAGTCCACGTCTCAAACCTACTGGTCCAGACTACGCGCCCCCTCCCCCAAGAGACGGAAGCCGTTTTATTGTGAAAATTCAAACAATAGAAGATTCAGGCCGGTTGAGCGCAAATTTAGACATGAGAGGATTCGAGAGTGATGACCGGGACCCAAATAAAGCCACCATGATTCTATATGATCGCAGCCGCCAGGTAAATTTTTGTGTTAGCTGTGAACCACAAATCTATCATTTAATCATGGAGTGTGGAATGATGGGAATGAAAATGTCCCTCACCAAGAAACTGTACTGCTGGGCTGCCTTTAAAGATGGCAAAACCCTTCGCATATTCACTCATGAATTTCCACGTGTACAAGACTGGTGAGCCTACCGAATAGTCATGGATGGGGATTCGAATGTCTAGAAGCTTTTTGATAAATATTGTTTGCGTCGATGATGTAGTTATACAGCGCCCTGCACGCAGAAATTCTTCTGGAAACTTTGCTATGAAAGAATGCCTAACGTCTTCAAGTGATTGTATCTTCTGTCAACTTTGATGTCGCATTTATTTCTCTTGCTGCGCTTCGATTGATTATTGGATTGTGAGAATAAAGTATCCTGCAGAACGCACCTAAAAGCTTACTACATGTACCGCTGACTTGAACACTCGAGGAAAGCGAAAAGGTGTTGGGTATATCATTTTACCAGCGCACAAACACGCAGGCCTGGCTCTTTTTTCATTGGGTCTTTTTCAATGAACAACATTATTACACTGCTTGACTATGTGAAGACGTATTCTTTACTTGCAGTGAACTATGATTTATTCCTTCTAAGGATCTTGTTTATTGAATTGAATATAACTGCAACACTTGCTTCAATATTCAAGATATTTCAAAGGAGCAAAATCAAGATTTCTCTTACGTCATTTTCTATTTATTTTTAATAAAGAAGACCTCAAAATGATCGCTTTCAAAGGTAGAGTAATCTGAACGTGTGGAATCTTTGGACTCGAATGACAAAATTGAGAAAATTGGGCAATTTTTTCAAGATGTGTTTCTGTGACCTAGCTCCTTTAAGATCAACTGTGTTTGGAAAGTATCAGCCAGGATTAAAGAGAAAATCACATTTTGTTCACCTCTGTCACTGGTAGGTAAAACGACAAGTATCATACAAGCGTAGTCTCGACTAATGATCAAAAAAATTGTCAGGTTCCACACCACGTTGTTCTACGCTCCGAACTTTCGAATCTTTGGTTGGCTACAGCAGGAAATAGGCCTGGGAAGGTCATATTTTAAACAAACGCCCTGTAATTCCTTGACCTCCGTAATAGCTTTTACTTTGGGAGACGCGGTATCCTCCTGAATCGGAATGTGGGAGGCAAAATTGATAGCTCAGGAATTTGACCATAATAATTATTTTCTTCTCGAGTGCCGGGTTAAGAAGTTTTATTTTTATATTTTGTTATAGTGCCTCTGTTACCGAGTAAATTTTATTGTTGTCCAGAAAATTTACAGCGGGACTACCACGACCAATTCCACTAAAGCAAATTCTTTGCAAATTGACCACTGGCATTTTAAAAGTTTTAAAATAGCCACTAATCCACGTGACCACAAATCTGTTGCCTTTGTAATGTAAAGCTTGATTACATGGATAATTTGTGTGACGATAGGTTTTTCCTGCAAACACTGTAAATTTCGGACTGAACGGACACTTGAACTGGAAACTGGGGGAATCTAACTCTGAGAGCACTGCTTGCCTGCGGGAACGGAAATTCGTCACGATTTCCTGGTACACGAGGATCTGCTTCAATGGTCTTCACTACGGACGTCAAGGAAGAGACATAACTTGGTCCAACAGTAGTTAATTCTGGACCCGACAACAATGATCTTCGTAATCGACGTTATAAGCGTAATCCTGATCGTAATCCATGTAATCGAAAAACCTTTACAAACGTACTTGTTTATATATCATCCTTTACATACACGTCAAGTGTTTACAATATGATAATGCAATACGAGCGGAAAGTGCTTTAATTAAGATAGCGAACTCTAATCAACACCACGAAGTTTCCAAAATTAAAAATAGAGAGCTACGATTAAAATTCACAGGTTGAGATTAAGATAGAACAAACTTAGGAAATTAAAAGTGAGATACTTAATTTGAAATTCTGAATTGGTGTTACCGATAGCAAGGGAACATCCCATGAATAGAAAGTATTAAAACTCCATTACTGAAAAATAGTTCAGCTGGCTAACTTCCGAGGAAACTAATAAAACTTCATTACTGAAATATAGTTCAGCTGACTAGCTTCCGAGGAAACGGAAGGTAGATTTTAATAATGAAAAGAAACTCAAATGACCTGATAATGAACTATTTGTTTTCTAACTGAAAGTTAGTGAAACGGCTTTGCATATGTTCAGGTGTACAAAGAATCGGCAATGTACAAAGTAGAACAATAACTTAAGATTTCTAGTTGATAACTGACGAGAGCCTACTGTTGGGTTTTTTCTATAATTTTCCAAATAATAAAGAAATGCCCGTGCAACGGCGAATTTTCTCATAACATTTGTTGGAAAACTATTGTTGACCTCCACGATTTTTGTTCTTTAAATTTGTAGAAAATTTTGTGAGGCGGCCATGGTTACAGTAGTCGCTCTGTAAACGCTGACCACTTAGCAACAGAATCTGGTCACATAACGCTCATTTTGGATACAAACAATGAAAGTGTCTCACGGTCACCTTTTCAGTGGTAGGCTTCAACCCCATTACTTCCTACTACCCTGTTCGAAAGCCTAAATCACCCGAGGGCTTAAAAAAAGCAACATGACAAACAATGTAAACAAGAGCGAAGCAAATCCTTCACGCCTTTTTATTTTCCTGTGTTAGAATTATCTATAACGCAAGGCTATAAGCTAGGTATAGTAACAGCTGTGGTTGACACTGATAAAAAAAAATTAGAATGTTGGTAAGGCTTCAACGAGAATAGGGACTTTGACCCTGGAAATTACAAAAGAGCGATTGAAATTGCCTAATTCCAAGGCCTCTATATTTCGCCTCAGTTGATCGTTTTCCGGTCACGTGGTCGGAGGCAAAAAGTGTGCTTCTCGGAGACGTCTCCAAAATCGATTTTCCGTGAAGGCCTGGGAGAAAGCCGTACAGGATCTAGGCAACGATTGAAACAAGATTCATAGCTACAGGATAGAACCAATACGTCTTTTAGACAATTTATATCAGAGAACTTGTTGTTAATTGTTGTCAGTAACGTTAACTTTACCTACCAAGGCTCCCACGACTGACAGATCTTCAGATGGGCAATTGTCCTCCACTGTATGAAGCGCCATTTTGGCGAATTTAGTTATAAATCACTTCGCAGTAAAGGCACTTGTGACAACCCCTCCCGTCAAGTGGTGGTGCAGATATGTTGGCGACAGCCGTGCCTGCATCAGGAAAAACAGTGTGCGAGGAGCTCCATGCCCATCTAAACTCCATTGATCCACATTTCCAGTTCACCTATGAGGTTGAAAGGACGGAGCCGTTTGAAGTAAAGGACGCTCCATGTGCTGGTAGTCATAGGGTACGTTGACAAAAAGTGGCATAAATTGAGAAACATCAAATTACAACTCAGGATATTGTCACTCTTCAAATTTCTGTTTAGTGATCAGTTTGTTAAATCTCATAACTTACTTGTCTGAATTAGTATTGATATTTTGAAGAGAAACTGCATTCTGATCACGGTAGAGTTTGACGNGCAGATATGTTGGCGACAGCCGTGCTTGCATCAGGAAAAACAGTACGCCGAGGAGCTCCATGCCCATCTAAACTCCATTGATCCACATTTCCAGTTCACCTCTGAGGTTGAAAAGGACGGAGCCGTTTGAAGTAAAGGAAGCTCCATGTACTGGTAGTTATGATACAGCTTTAGCTATTACTGAACAAAGCTGAACAAATTCGATGTAAATGATATCAAGTTAGCTTCAAAAGGAGATGAAATGTAACTTATTTTGGAGGTTATTAAGCTTGAAATCTATAAATGAAACAGTAGTGTACGAAAGCTCTTAAGCAATACTATCATGTGGAACTGTTTGTTAGTCAAGATTTTACAAAATTTAAATCAAAGTTTTTAGCTTGATTATTGTTTTGTTCCATTCCTAGTGGTTAAAGCACAGTGACCGTCGAAGCCGATTTACACCTTCTGGAATGCAGGGTGTGTTAGAACATGGCGTGCTATTTCACA